GATGAACACCTTACTGGGGTCGTTTGACCCCAGTACTCTTTCCTGCCATGGCAGGGGGTCGGACTAGATGATCTGCTCAGGTCCCTTCCGACCCTAGAAACTATGAAACTTTCATTTAGAAATTCTCCATCCCAGGGGCATTAGGGACCCAGCCCAAAAAATGTTAAGCAACATAATTAGAACCATCCCAGAACAATAAAAAAACGAGGTAAATATTAAAAAGGCAAAACAATGTGGCTTTATTCCATCAGAAGATGTGCAGAGGAGGTCTTAAACAGGGACTGAGAATAACTACAGCTGAAAGCACTCCTGATAAAAACAGTTACAGATGCTGCTTTACAACTGAGGAAGAAATATCCAAATCAATGCTTAGGTTCAGGGCTGTTACAGCAAAGATCAGCCATGTACTGATATGAAGTGCTACATGGGAGCTCCTAACAGGCAGGTGGTCTTGAGCTGCAGGATCCCCAAAGGGGGGCGGTTATGGCAAGTGGTTGGAACTCGGAGCCAAATCCCTGGTAGCTTTATCTCATGTGAAATTATATGGGTTAGATCAGAAAGGGGATTAGTCCAGTTCCTGGAAATAGGCCATTAAATGATGAAGATAACTTGGCAAACATTTCCCTTTAGTGACTGCTTTAAAACAAAACCTGAACCTCATTTTCCCTTCTACAATGTTTTCCAGGCAGGTCTATCGTTTTCATTCTTGCTGACTGACCTAGCTTGCCAGTCTCTCTGCAGGCACTAGTTAACTGCTTTGAGGATATTCTCTGAACTGCCACACACAGTTAAACAAGGGAACATTCACAAGAATAACATTCAACATAGTGGACCAAATTCAGTAGTTCCACTGAAGAAAACAGCATTATACCAGGGATGAGTTTGGTCCCAAATTTTCAACATACTGCATCATTCATTAGCAAATACTGAAAGCTGAACTTTGACAGCATGCACTTTTAAGTAAAAATAGGATTTATTACTACTAGATTCTCCCCAAGTGCCTGCTTCTAGCTTCTTACTGGTATGTTTCCCATCCCAATGCTACATGTTTTTGCAGCTGGCAATTGATACTGCCAGCCAGCCTGTATGTTCAGTAATTTTAATGTATTCCCATCAGAAAGTTATTTTTACTGTTCATTTAAGTATCTTCTTAAAGCTTCTTGCATAGAGGTTCATATTTTAATTTGCATTTTCCCATAGGATAAGGACAACAAGAAGAGAAAGAAATAGAAATGTAGCTCATCTGCTTGAGGGTGAGTTTCATGAAACACCAACCCAAGTAGTATATGTAAATCAAATACAAAACAAAGCTGCACTTGTTCTTCTTCAAGTTTCAGATGGTTTTATTGGAAGTCATTATTTCATAGAGAGGCAATGTAACAGGACAGGACATGCTTATGGAATTATTTTCATACTTAATTCTATATTTTTGTCCTAAACATTGAATGAACTGTACTGAGTTATCATTACTGGTTGCCCCTACTTAGTTGGTTCTTCCTAATTCCTTCAAAATATTCTCCCTTTATGCAGAAGTTAGTTTGCCAACAGGGAGCGTGGTTCTTTGAGACAGAGCAAATGTAGACCCCGCTGCAGGTACATGCACACCTCATCCATGCAAGGCAGGATTTGTCTGGACTAGCACTGTCTACTGGCCATACAATGGCCTCAGATCTACCTCCTGATCCCATACGAGGGCAGAAAGGCAGGACAGCTCTAGCCGCCCCCCAGTTCCTAAGCTGGTGTTGCTGAGGACTATAAACTGTGTCATGGGATTCACACTGGCTACATCTCAGAAGACAGATCTACTGCAGGGTAACCAGGTAATTTTTTCTGCTTACAGAGAGCATCAGCACAGACCCCAACATCAATGACCAACTATCTGTGTTCTCGCTGGGCGGCGGAAGTGCGCGATCTCAGCCACCCTCGTCAAACAGAGCCAAGTGCTGCTCCACTGCACTCGGCCTCTAACCTGGCTGCTGTGCTAAACATGAAACCATGAACAGCAATGCCTGGGTGACCCCGTGTAGCCACCTTGCACGCTACAAACTGCCACGCTGCTGAAGCATGCAGAAGAGGCAGCCTTCGCTCCGGTAGAGTGGGCACTGATACCACGAGGGAGATGCTCTACATGCGACCGACAGCAGGTGGAAGTCCACTGTGGGATTCACTCGGAAGATTTTTAAATGGGGGGAGGGGAGGTGCCTACGGGGCTGCCCTACTTAGATCAAAGAGCTTGGCTCCCGAAACATGCAACGTTTCAAGTTTCTTCTCCCAACTTTGCGCGCGCCTTTGAAAACGTAGCCAATTAGTTCAGGTGGAATCCCGAGGCCAGGTTGGGGAACTGGGCCATTGTTCATCGTTGCCTCCTCCCTGTGAAAGGCTGTGAATGGTAGTTCAGCCCTAAAATCCTGAACCTTGGGCTAAAGTCCATTGTGCCTTCAGAAAGACCACTTGGATGTGCTGCTAAGGTGGTGTATTGAGTGCTCCGACAGCTCAGAGCAAGGTTCCCCATGCTTTAAGATGGTGGCACCGAGTCCCACACAAGATTTTGCATCTTGTGAAGAAAGCGCTAAAAGAATGTTGAGAGCGCACGACGTGAAGAAACTGGAGTGTGAGGTAACTTGTTACTTGGACAGGAGAGGTCACGTGATAGCACCGTTTTGTAAAAGATTCATTCAGTCATCAGTACATTTGTGTAGAAGATTGATAAAACTCAACTCCAAAGCAGCTGGATATAGCTAAGAGACATCAAGGTCATCCTCTGTGCAGTTAGGGCTCTGCAGCTTTGCCAGCATCAATGAATAATTTTCACTTGTCTCCTGAAGAACTGTAAGTGTCTGGGTTTGATGGACATCTGAGGAGCCTGGCTGCATGTATACTTAGCATGTTACACTTGTTGAGGAAATGTGCTTTTGAAGTCTGGATTGACTGACGCTTCCCTAATGCCAGTTTGTGAAACCATTTTCAATGTGGACTAGGGTTAAGCTGGGACTATCTGATCATGCAACAGAAATACTATAGATCACTTACATTTAAAACATTTTAAATTTACTATGGTAGCCTCTAAATAAGAGAACTATTGCATAGCAATACAGAGTGTGCAAAGCTGCTGCCATGCCTGCAGCCTGAGGCCACCTTATATTACGCAGAGCACATTACCCTATAGCTTGCTATGCGCGTGTAAGGGCAGTATGGATACCTCTGCAGTTTTCTATTTAAGATGCTGGTGACCAAGTGTTCCACAGGTTTCTGAATTCTTTTTCGAAGGCATGATTCGGTTCTCAGGACAGTTTTAAGGTAACTAGACATATTTGGCTTGTGAGGTTGCTCTGTCCGTACACAAATGCTTAGAGTGGCCTGCAGGCAAAGAGGTAGCTCCCATTCCCTGCTCACTGTCCAACCCACCTCTGGTACACATAAGAAACTGCAAAGATTAAGAATTACCCTTAAGCTGGATACATGATTGGTTGAATAAGCACAAAATAAAAAAGGATGTAGCGACACTGGAGAGGTTCCAAAAATAAGTGACAGAAATGATAAAGGGACCTGAAAGTAAGTGCTGTGAGGCAAGATTGATGGAACTAGGTATGCTCCATCTGGAGAAAAGGAGATTAATAGGGGACCTGAAAGCAGTTTTCAGGTAGCTGAAAGACTGCCGTACGGAAGGCGGAGAAACAGGATTCTCCCTTGCCGCAAAGGGCAGGACACGTCACAATAGGTTTAAACTTCAGCAAACCTAATGTAACTCAAATCTCAGGAAAAAAAACTCCTTACTGTAAGAATCCTGGGATAATAGTGTAACCTGGGTGGTACTCCAAGAGGTACCCCTTCTCCAGCTGAAGGGATCAAAGCAGGTGCACAAGCGCTGTGGGAGGTGTAGGGACTCTCTTCCCCTATACAGCAGAGCCAGACCACCAATGGGGACTTAACCATATACTTTTTAATACTTGGAAAATAACAGGCATAAATCAGAGAGTATAGTGGACACTACGGTGCTCCAAGGGGCAGGATTCAATAAAGGTTAGACACTTACAATCATTGACAAAAAACAGGGTTAACAAAATATAAAGCACGAACAGCAGAACAAACAATATGGGCTGGTGAAATATAAAAAGGCACAAAACACGCAATGTAAAATGACAAGGAAATATAGGGCCTTGGTACCTGGAGGAGGAGAAAGGGGGGGGAACACAACGGCCCCTTTCCACTGCAAGAAGATTTGCTTCTTGTTATCTCACTTACCCAAGTCATCTCAGCTGGGACTTGAACCCAGATCTCCCACGCAGTAGGCAGAAAAAGCTGCCCCACAGCCACCACTGCTCCAGCCTGCCAGGGGCCTTAACCTTCCCGGAGCCCAGCCTCACAATGCGCTGTCTCGCCTCTGATCGGAGAAGCTGAAGCAGGGCTGAGAACCCCTTGCGTCGCTGCTCAGACCCTTGCTGGAGCGGGGGAGCCTCTCCTGCCGGGTACAGTGTCTCCCAGGGGACGCTGGAGCCCAGTGGGGGCCTTTCCTGCCAGCCACACGCTGCACTGCCTAGAGTCCCACTGTTGCCTGCAGGCCCTGCTCTTTCAGGCTGTTCCTGGGCACTGCTCCGGCCCCACTACCTCCTCCCTTGCTGGTCTCTCCCAAGTGAGGCCACACTGCCCTTTTTATCCCCCTCCAGGTGACCCAAGGTGCCAATCAGGACATGAGGGGGTGAGTCTCTGGGGCCTGATTGGTGCGGAAAGGGAATCCCAGGTCCTCCAATCATCTTTTGCCCTTTCAAAACCCCTGGGCCAGGTCACTGCCAGCCAGCCCGTCACAACTGTATAAGCTGCCAAGGGAAGCTATACAATCTCCTTTCTGGAGGCTTCCCAAAATATCCTGGACAGGCATCTGAGGTGTCTTAGGAACAGTGAATTCTGAATTTGTGCCGGGAGTTGGACTAAACGAGCCCTGACCAACCTCATTTCCTTTTATGGCCAGGTGACTTATCACCTGGATAAGGGGGAAGAGATCAACGT